TGTTTCAGGATAATTTATGTTCTTGAAGAGTGAGTGATAACTGTGCCTGGCCAGAGGACACCCTGCCGGGATGGAGCCTAACATGATGCCTTCCCTCTTCAATAAAAGCCAAGGGGAAGGAGTTGCTGCTGCACAGCAGACTCTTCCTTTGGCTCTTTAATGCAGCATGGTTTGGGACTGACAGCAGGCAGCCTGGTAGATCGCACTGCTGCTGCATTACACACGGGAGTCCATTGCATACATCTTGCCCGTGGCAGTTCTCCCACAGTGGAAGACAGGCCTTTCAGGTCTCCTGGAGGATTCTTCGTCTGGGAGAGAGAAAAGATTTAAAATGATTTAACTGAAAGAAAGCAACATTGTATAGATGTGTAAAGTCAGGTCTCATTGTCATTTATAATAGGACCCTACAGGTGAGAGGCCCCGTGCCGACACATCACGACAAGCTGGATGTCTGTGGAAAGTTGACTTTCGATGCAGCTGTTGCTTTTAGCTAGGCCGTGACAGCATGGAGGAGTTGGCTTGAAGCATCTCCGAGGCAGTAAGTTTCCTAAAGTGCCCACCCCTGACCTAGTGCCTCTGAAAACCAGGCTGCCAAGACCCCCTCGCTGGTTTTAACCTACTTGGCGCTGTGAGGCCTAGGCTGGAGCTGCCAGAGCATCCCTGGGGTGGGCACGGGGCAGGCACTCCCAGGCCTGCAGCAACCACCCGGGTGGGGAGTGAAGAGCTGAGCCCAGGCTGTGCTTGCATCGAGCCAGGCTGGCTCAGCACCCCGCGCTGGCCCTGGGGCCATCTGCATGGGGCAGAAGGGCTGGGGGGGCCGTGTGCCTAGGCAGCCTGTGGGATGTGGGGCATATGGGGCCTGGGCCGCTCCCTGCTGCTGCACAGGGCTGAACCTCTGCTTTCCACCGCCCAGAGCCAGACCGGCCCTGCGGGCAGCACCACAGCCTCCAGCACGGCCTCAGGGCAGCCGGGGCAGGCCCAAGTGCCTGGGGCTTGCCCTGACCCCTGTCCAGCTGTCAGCACTTGGTGCTGCGCTGGGACAGGGAGCATGGGCTGGGCCAGGCGCAGACCACAACCACAGAGCTGGGCCCATGGCCACAAGGAGGTGCGAGCATGGACTAGGGCTCAGGTGAGGGCATTGCACAGCCTGGAGCCTTCAATCAGGGCTGCAGCAGGCTTCCTGCAGCCACAGCCAGGTCTGCAACAGGTGGAGGGCATTTAGTGCTGGAGCCGGCAGGGCAAGAGCAGCCCCACTGAGCCCAGTTTCTCCCAGGGCTTGACCCCAGGGGTGCAATTAGTGCTAAGGATGCCTGGCTAGAGCAGCTTTGATTGCAGGGAGCAAGCTCCTCCCGGAGCCCTGCGAGGGGCAGGTGCAGCCTGAGGCCGCTGTTCCCCCAAGCCCAGGTCTCACCAAGAGCTGGGGGGCCAGGGCACGGTGCTGCGAAGCACGGGCTGGGGGTCCGGATTCCCTCGTGGTTGGAGGCCTCTGAGCCCCACTTCTCTGCACACCCTTGGCTGGGCTTGCACAGGAGCCGGGACCCCGCAGTGGCCCTTGACGAGCAGCCGGAGAAGACCGGTGCCTGCAGCCCAAGGGGACGTGCCGCACGGCTTCACACTTTCCAGGCAGCTCCTGTGGCTGCAAACAAAGGCAGACCTCCCCTCCCGGCCTCCAGCCCCACCTCTCTGGACTCGAGCACGGGCGGCTGGAACAAGTCCTCTCTGGCATGGCAAATATGATGGCCCTTGGTTCGCAGCAGCTGGCCAAGCGCCGCTGGGGAAAGCAAGAGTGAAAGCCGGGGCCAGAGGACGTCTACCCTGTGCAGAGTCAAACCCCTGGGCCCTGCCTGACAGCACGGGGCCTTGACCACCAGGCCACGAGGCAGGCTGGGTCCGTGGCCTTCCCGGGACTCCCCTTGTAGTGGGGCCAGCGCGTGTCCACAGGCAAAGAGTCAAGGGGCCCAGAAGTAAGAGCCTGAGCCAGCCCGGCCCTGTGGTGCGTGGTGCTGGACACCTCAGTGTGGATGCTGGGGGTC